AATTGGCTAAGTGACTTTTAAAGATCTCTCAAGAAATGGCCAAGCCTAAGTCTCTATCTTTGTCTTCTGATTATTCAGGAAAGTCATAACATTTAAAAACATAACACACATACATGTAAGAAGTGGTTTATTGATATTTGCTACAAAATAGGATATGTTCAATGACATATCATCATATGTTCGATGTATTGTTTCTCTGCAGCAATTATAGTTTAGAGTTGCAATGAACATGGTGCATTAACATAGAATTTACTTCAATCCCTACACATGTATTTGTGAGGCATTGCCTCAGGTGATTGTGCTGCTGTTTTTATTGAATAAACCTGTACTGTACCCTAGTGCATTATCCTCAAGAAGAAATGAAGTGCTCAAGTGTTCCAATGTGTTTGTGTGTATAGATATATAGAGTCTCCACTTCCAGACTTGATGGCTACTCTCTTACTTGTTTGCTGTTTCCCCCACCAAGGCTGCTTTATTTCTTATATTCCCACAAGTATGGGAAATCATGGGCTATCCCCAGTGTAGGGAGTCCTAGTTCAAAGCAGAAGGAAGCGGTAACAGGCTAGACATCTAAGTAGTTTCCCAGCAAGAGGAATGTTATGCCGAAGTTCATTTTAGAGACTTGAGATCAGTTAACTCTATCTTTTATTCCTTTTACTCTTGGCCACTTTGCCTTGTCCCACTACCCCTAGCAAAATAAAATCTTCTCATGTATTCGTAGGGCTAACCACCGTTGATATATTCCCCAGATCTTTGTACTGTGCCCTATGGGACTGGAACTAGATTTGCAAACTGATTGTTCCTCAATGTTATTCAAAGAATACTCTATATGCCTTTTTGTCTTATTCGAAATGAGTTCTTCCTAGAAGACCCTGTGTCCCTGTTAGCTTCCCTCAGGGGAAGCCTCTCCTCTCAATTGCCATATGCCAAGCCAAGGGGTAGCATCAACATTCTACCTGAAATTCTTTTTCTTTTCAGGCTCATGACATTTGTTGTGTTGTCCTGGTCCTTTCCTGGTCATTATTATCCTACCAATCACTTCTTTTCCTTCATATGAGATGTGTACAACCGGTTCACCATTTTCCTTTCTAACACAACTCCTGTCATCAGGAAATTTTAAGTCCTACTTGGGTGACTGACCCAATGTTCTACCATTATAATTCCTTGGCCTTCTCAAATCTAGTGATCCCCTAGGGTTGTGGTTTTTTTTTTTTTTTTTTTTTTTTTTTTTGTCAAATGGGAAATAGCATCTAACTCTAAAATTTTATGTTATTATAATCAACTATCTGTCCCAAACCTCTTACCCTTACAATTATTTCCTATTAAACCTACCCTTATTTTGGTACCCAGACACTTGATTACTCCTTTGTCTCCAAGTGTGTCAGACCACAGTTGCACAGCTGGCTTCATCCTTCAGCCTAAAGTGCATGCTACATAGAACAGCGATATTCAAAGTGCAGTCCTCAAACCAGCAGTATCAGCATCAACATCTCTTGGGAATTAGTAAGAAACACAATTTCCTTGGGTCTCACTCAGATTTGCTGAGTCAGAAACTGATGTTGGAGCCCGGCTACCTGTGTTTTAAAAAGCCCTCCAGGTGATTCTGCTGCACTCTACAATTTAGGAACCACTAATACAGAACATTAATTCAGCTGCTCCCTGCACCTTTAATATCTGTGGGTGGCAAAGAATACTCAAACATAAATGCATCATTGTTATTTTTCCAAACCTTTCTATTTGTAAGATTTCTAAAAATTTACCAAGTTCTCCAGCTGTATCCGGCATCCACCTTTCATATACAATCACCATCTTCAACCCAAATGTTTTTTGTAATTCCTGTTTATCTAAACTTTAATACCGTAAAACTATTAAATGCCCATCACTTAATGGTACTTCCAAAGATGTTTTGCTTATAACCATCCTCTGTGAAGGATGCCAAGAGATGCTAACTTCCTCAAGGTCACATGTATAGGAAAGGGTAGAGCAAAGATTTGAATTCGGGTCTAGCTGAATACAGAATCCATGCTTTTTCTATTTTGATGCTAAATTACATGAAACAACAGCTAAATTAATATGCCTCATCACTCTAGTTGAAACAGCACTTACCAATGAATAATCTATAGAATTAAAAATATGAGTGTTATATGAAAATATATTATTAAATAGCTTTGGTAGATATCACTTTAAGTAGTTTTCTCTATTGTAGGACTTCTAAGAGCCTTTAATATGCTGTTGTGTATTTTGATTCTCTAAAAAGCAGATATAGTATGCTGTCCAAAATTCTTTGACCAATGAAACATTAGTTTGTAAATCACCTACATTAATACCTTGTAGAGCTAGTGTTGCAAGAGATGCTTTGGAAAATTTGGATTTAATCTATTTCCTTTCTCTTTAAGACACATGGAGTTGCTTATCTCCCTTGATTTCTTTATTTCATCTGCTTTTACCCTGTTTTATGTTGCCACTAGTTTGAACTGGAATAGTCATGTCCCATTGTCTCACTAGGTACTACTTTTCCCTTCCTTCAGAGATAGGCTCACATTCTACTCTTCTGCCTCAGGGATGTATGCAGGGAAATTACATTTAAGAAGTAATATTACTCTCCAAACATTACAAATATAGTGTATATGCATGTATATATACTACCTCATGTAAGTGTAAATCTCATAACTTCATGATAATGGTACTAATTTGTTAATATAAATTTTTTAGCATCACAATGCATACATAACACGTATATATCCAGGGCTGAATAAGCTGTGTTAGGGCTAACACATGCTGGGCATAAGAATTATGACTACGATCTAGGGGGGGTTTTCCCACAGTCTACAAATATATCCAGAACACTATGTGCAGGGGCATTTTACCCCAGATTTTATTAGAAAAATCAACAAAAGTTTAAATGGAAATATGACTGAGAGATATACACGCTATTAAACAGTTAACATATATAACTGTAACTCACCACATACTATAAATGCAGTTTTGATATTAATTTCCGTTAATCTTCACTAGAAATTGGCTAAACCACTAGGGAATGGTGTTTAATAGATATTTTTTCCTGGTCCAGCATATTATCTCTTTTTCTCTCATTGTGCAGGTTCCGCCGACCTTCTTCTTTGTGTTCCATGCTCTTCTTGTCCTGCACTGGTCTACTCTGGTATGTTTGCTCAGGGGGCTTAATATCATACCCATGTCAGGTAATTATGGGTACTAGCTACAACTGCTCTAAGTTCAGATATTTTTTAATACATAGCCCTCATGACCTCTAATGAGAAAAGATTTCCCTCCAAGTGTTTCAAGTACTCTGCATAATGTTGCCTTTTTTTCCCTTTATTTGTGATATTCTATTAATCTCACAGTCCTCACTTAGTCTGCATTCTCCCATGCTGACATGGTAGGATGGGGATTTTAAACTCCTTCTCTCTGATAGGAAAACTAATATATTCTAGATAGATATGACACGAAAATCATTTTCCCCCACTGTACGGCCTGTGCACTGTATGACACCATTACGTATCTCCTGGAGTTACAGCATCTCAGAACAATCTCACATCCATGGACATTAGACTACGCTATGGACTGGATATGCAAAGACAAAAAAAATTGCTGTATCTTCTCTCAAGTACATCCCAGAGAGAAGCAAAGGCATTGAGTTTGCCCTCAGCACTCTTAGAATCACAGAATCAAAATTGGAAAGAACTTTAGAACCATGTACTCCTTTCTCAACCTGATGTTGACTTCTCTGCAATACCCCCAGCACATGGTCATCTAGATGCTGCATGAACACCTTGAGTAATGGTGATGTTGTTGCCTTCCTTGACCACCCATTGAATTTTATTCTGCTCTAATCATACACTGACCCAATAATTCTGTGTTAGGACATTACCTAATGAAATAATTTCTGCAATGCACCACCATGTAGCTACCATCAGAATCTTATGTTCATTGCCACATGTTTTGTAATAACACATGGAAGATGTTTTACAATAAACATTGAAAGCATGTAAGAAATAGAAACAACCTAATGACCAATGAAAGAGGAATGATTAAAAAAATTATAGCAATCTGTGTAATGGAAAACTGTGAATCTATTATGAAGGATGAGATATAACTATACATACATATATATATATTCTGATACTATCTCTCTCTATATGTATGTGGAAATTTTTCCTAATATTTTATATACAAAAAGAAAGCCACAAACAGAATATTACATATAAATCATTTTTGTTCTATATAATGCACAGACACATACACAATTATAAATTTACACCTACAGAATACTGTCTGAGTGGTTATAAACAAAATTGCCATCAGTGGTTGTCTCTGTGTGATATGATAATAGCTCTTTGCTTATCTAGAATACTTTCATAATAAGCATGTTGCTTTAAAACTCATTTTAAAAGCAACTACTCTCTTATTTTGCTCCAAAGTCTGAATCCTTATAGATACCATCTTTCTGGTTCTGTCCTTTTGTGTCACAGACAATAATTGTATCTCTTCCATATAGTAACTCTATCACTATAGGCACACAACTGTCATGTGGTTCTTGTCTTCCGCCCGTCAAATGATCTTGGTATGACATATAGGCAAACTGCTGTTCACTTCAAGAGCTCTAACTGAGTAAATCATTTACATGATTCATATTTAATAAAAGCCTGCAATGGATCAGGAACTATGCCAGAGAAAAGCACATGTAGTTATCACGGGTGACACAGCACCCTCTTGTAGTTTTTCTCATCATGAAACTTACTAAATTGTCAAGAAGACACAGGATGAACAGCTATGTATGTAAAATGCTGATGATGATTATTATTGAGGCATCAGGATGAGATAAGTACATGCAGCAGGAGAATTCTCCCTTGACTAGTAGTCAAAGGGTCAAGGGAAAGTGATATTTAAGGTTAAGACCTATGAGATAATAGGAATTAATCAGATAAAGGAATTCACTGGGGTTGGTTAGAGTAAGAAAAGCGTTCCAGAAAAAGGAAAACTATATGTAGAAATGACTGGGCTTGGTTTCCCCTCTCTCCCTTACCCACTTCCATCAAATAAATATTTATTGAGCAAATGCCATGAACAAACTATTCTTTCAGGTCCTTTGAATAATTTGGAGATTGATAGTCTCCTTTCAAATATTTACGATCTAATTGGTGAATCACAAATACTAAATAACTACAGTTCAAAGCAGAAAAAAACACACAAAATATCCTAGAAACATGGATATTTTCCTTTGCCATCCTAATCTGATTAGGATTTTATACAAATACCAAAAATTGATATACTGGTAGCAAGGTATGGTTAATAGAAGTAGTACTCTAATGTCAATGGCATTGTGAAAAGTTCATCAGAGTAGAGGAAAGCATTAAAATCCCAATTTTCCTTTTCAATATGCTGCACTATAGACATATTATTAAATATATTTTCTTTTGTTTTGTTTCTCCTCTGCAGGTCTGTGAAACAGACAGAAGAAGTTTCAAGTGGCCCTTAAAGAAATTGCAATTATTCAAATACTTATATATAGTTCTAATTTTATTTACTATGTGTAATCATTTAGAGAATGGTTATTTTTATAATATCAATAATAAAAAAAAGTACTATGGCAACCAGGGGGTGCCCAACTGTGTAATCAGAGAACACTAATCCTGGCAAAGAATTGTGGGGTGGTGAGGAAGCCTGCTGCCTTTTGGCATGGTTAGTGTCCTGGGTTTAGAGTACTTTATACATAGTTACTAAGATTAATATTTGATATATTAAATATCACCTGATTCAAATAACTTTGCTTAAATTTTTTCTGTATTTTAACTTGTCTAGGGTTTTCTACTTCTTCTATTTTTATAATATTTTCTCAGTTTTTAGATTAATAAACATTATACTTACCCACATGTGCCAAGATGTACCATTTAGGTCTCTGCGCAGGTTAGCTGTTTGGTGTCATCCTCCATCATATATATTTTGTGCAGCAGCAAGAGGTGTATTCACCACTACTTCTTCCCATGATTATTATCCCTATTTCTATCAAAACACATAATCAATACATTAATTCCATAAAAATATCAATACGGAATGTAATGCATGCCCCCCAAAGTGTATGCAATGAAAAGTGTTTGACTATTAATCCAATTATGAAACCCAATGAAGATTATCCATTTTAAATTTGATATACACTCGCTTTTGGAATGTGTTATGCATCGATGCTAAGTGAATGAATCTAAGTAAATCCATTGAGAATCTCTAATGTGTGTTTTATCTTATTTGTCTTAATCTAATTTGCTTTCTGGACCCTTAAGACATAAGTTTGTGTTATAAAACTACCTGTATAACTGTCAAGGTAACACATGTTAGTTAAAAGGCCAGAACATGGCTAAAGAATAAACAAATTCTGATTGTATGAATTAAGTCAATTTCCTAAATCAAATAATATAATCAATTTTCTTATATTAACATTTTCTTGTGTATAGATACTCATAAAATTAATTTTCTTAAGTTACTGTTTTTCAAAGGTAGAAAAAAATGAAAGATTTAGAAAATAGTAAATTTGTTAGCAGAAAGGAAAGAAGGCAAGAGAGTAATTTTATGGAACCAGAACCTGCCTTTGTTTAAAAATCCTTGCCATGGAGAATATTTCTTCAACAATGTCCAACTGAGGATCCAAGTGTTTTTTTTCTATTAGAAATATTCTTTCTTTAAAACACATCAGCCCCAATGCCTTTGTCTGAGCCAAACCTTCCTGCAACCATTGTTTGGCTGGTTTTTGTCCTCTTGCCCACTGAGCTTTTCCTGGAGGCAGTCACCCTCCCAAGTGCCACATTGACTTCAAGGATCAGAGCCACCAGGATAGCAGAGTGTATATTGCCGAAGATGTTGTTGAAGATAAACAAAACCAGACACCAGCCGAAGTGGTAAAGACAGATGCTAATCAGTAATAAACTATTACAATGAAGAAGTGGGTCCAGTGTGAACTCAACTTCAAATTGTGCAGAGGCAACTAGGCATTATAGAGGGCGAACAAGTGAGTAGGGAGAGGGAACGGTGGGTCCTTGAACAGAATCAGGAAGTGGACATTTATAAAACACAGTAAAGTGGTTTGGTCCACGTGTGAAAGCTGGGTTTGCTAACTGTTGCTTACAAAGTTAGCTTCCTACCCTCACTCAGGGACTGGGAGAGAGGGCCCTTATCTCAGGTGTTGGCTGGAAAAGACAGTAAATTGTTCTGACAGCTTTGAGCTTTCTCAGGCAGGAACTTAATGGTGCTGGAGCCCTCAGTCTAAGAACAAGGTCTCGAGCTGTTAGAAACTATGTTAGTATTTGTTTAAGTCTTTTAATGTTGGGGGCAGGGACACACGAAATCATTTGCATTGACAGTCTGCAGTTTTTCTAGGCCAAGGCTGAGGCTTAGTTGAGAACAGGGCTCAGAGCAGTTTGGTCAAGGAGAGAATCTTCGTCAATGCCAATCAGGCAGGTCGTACACACACACACCACAATCTGTGCTCTCTATTTTTTTCAATACCTTTAACCACTTCCAGAGGCCAAGGCCAGTGAACAGCTAGGTATAGACAATCTCTCCAGGTTGTTTCCAATCTCCTATTTCAAATGTCATCAAACTCCAATTGCTTGGCACTCCTCTTGGCTCCCACTACTCATTTTATCTCTTTTGGGTTTCTTAACATAGTTCCAGAGTTATCACATTAGAGTTTGAAAAACCCACACCAAAAGTGTTCTTGAAATGCTCCTCAGGTCCCACACCCCAACAGCACTGCTGTGGACAGATGGCTTTAGGCCTCAGGGTGTCCCTGGCTGGGACTCTGGTGGCTTCTGACCTATACACAGAGGCCATTGCAGGGCATCACAGTCTTGTGGGGGAGACATACATATAAATGTATAACTTAAGTCAAACATGATCATATGCAATGATAAGGACGTTTATAGGCCAGGCTACAGGAGCACAACAGAGCAGTTGTGAACATATCTGGGATCTGGACTTGGAAAGGGGTGAGTTGTGGGGTAGGTGAGAAATCAAGGAAGCCTTCCTGGAAGGGACAATGCCTCAGCTGCTTCTCTAAAGATGAGTTGGAGTCAATTGGGCAATGAAGGTAGGTGGGCGGGTCTTAGTGGAAGCAGTAGAATCAATCCAGCAGGGAAGTCTGAGCAGGCA